TTATCAATTAGAAGATCAGGTGCAAAAATGGTATCAAATTTTTTTCATTCTTTTATTTCTTCAAATTTAACATTTTTTTTTTTTGTTTTATTTTCTGTAACTTTTTGATGGCATATAGCATAGCTTTAAATTTTTGTATATTAGTTTTATTAATATTTATTTATTTATTTTTTGATTAGTCATTTTTTAAATGTAAATTTATCTCTTTTTCTTTTTAAATTAAAATTTTTTTTGCTTACAAAAAAAAAATTATTCAATTAATGAATAAAATTAATATTTAAAATATGCAAATTTCAGTTGTGGTCATTTATTTCGTGATAATATATCATACCTAAGTAAGCAAGCAATTGAAAATTTACAGCGCCCGGCGCAAAATGTTTATTTGTCACTTTGTGGCATTTATTTTTGTTGCACAATTGTTGCACTTATGATTGTGCTACTTTTTTTAAATTCACTAAGAAAAGATGAAATTTCCAGGTTTGAAATATTTCACTTCTTTTTCCGTTTTTCTTGTCAAACGGAACGATGTAATATTTCCGGAAATGTTAAGCATAATTTAACCGAAAATATTAAATTAAATCGAAAAAATGAAAAGTACTCGCATATTTGGAAATGTTAAATTAAATTATTTCAAATACTAATAAATTAATTAATTAGAATAAATAAAACCAATGTTAAAGTTAATATCAACAAAATATTTATAATATTATTTCGAATAAACTCAAAAGTCTGTGAAATATTTTTTTTTTTTTTATAAAAATAATTGCGTTTACAAATATTTTATAAAAATTTTTTGTAAAATGATTGATTGTTCAAAAAGTATAAAGAATTACTAGCAGATAATAAAATTTATCAGTGAAACAAAAAATATTTGATAAAAGAAAATGCTGGAAAAAGTTCAATGATTTTCTAATATTTACTTATCAATTAATTAAATTTAAATTAAAATTTTTTATCATAAAACTTTCCATTATTTTTCTTTTAGTCTAAACTATGCTCATTAATACAAATTGTGATAAATTACCAAAAAATAAATAAATAAATAAAAATGTAATTGGAAATTTTGTGATTAAATAATAATTTAATTAACATTTTTATAATAGAACGATTAATAGTATTTCAAAACAACAAAAACAAAATTTTTCGTTTAACTTTTTTGAAAATTTAAAAAGATTTCTTCTAAAAAAAAAAAAAAAAAGGTATAAATAAAATTACTTTAAAAATTTTTAAATGATAAAATTATTGAATTACAGATTAAATGCACCATTCTTTTCAACAGATATTTGTAAAGCAATATTTCGGAATCTTACTTATCCTAAATCACTGCTACTTGTACCTTTGACACTTTTTAGCGGTGTTGAACAAGCATTTGTTGTAGGCCTCTATACAAAAGTAATTTTTAGTTATATTTCTAATTTTTTTATTTTTATTTATTTCTTTTTTTTTTTTTTTAGAAATTATAGGTCTTGTTTTATTGACAAATGAAATTTCCTTGTCAAATAATAAAAATTAATTAATTGTTTTATTGACAAATGAAATTTCCTTGTCAGATAATAAAAATTAATTAATTGTTTTATTGATAGATGAAATTTCCTTGTCAGATAAAAAAATTAATTAGTACATTTTTTTTTAAATTATTGTTTTATTGAAAGATGATAGTTTCATGCTAGTTTCATATAGATAATAAAGTTAATAAACTAATTAATTGTTTTATTGACAGATAAAATTTCCTTGTCAAATAATAAAATTAGCTAATTGTTTTATTGACAGATGAAATTTCCTTGTCAGATAATAAAAACTAATTAATTGCTTTATTGACAGATGAAATTTCCTTGTCAGATAATAAAATTAATTAGTACATTTAAATTATTGTTTTATTGAAAGATGATAGTTTCATGATAGATAATAAAGTTAATTAATAGAGATTTTTTCTTTAGTTCTTTTGTTGACAGATGAAAATTTTTTGTCAAATAATCAAATTAATTAATTAACAATTACTTTTTAAAAGGCTTACATTGGTTGTGGCCTTGGTATTGGCCAAATTGGATTCGTAATGACAGGATTTGGTGTAGCAGATGCTGTTTGTAGCCTAGTTTTTGGGCCATTAATGAAATTATTTGGACGAATGCCTTTATTTGTTTTTGGTGCTGTTATCAGTATGCTTGTATCATTAACACTTCTGATAAGTTTCATTTATCAAATTTTAATTTGATGAAAAAAATATGAAATTATCAAAAAGTATAACTTTCCCAACTTTTAAAATCATTTTTTTTTTCATTTTATTTTTCAATTTCATATCATTATCATTTTTTGATTGCTGAAGAAAATGATAATGATAATTGTTTAATTTAAAATGAATAAATATCTGATCCGGTAACAATATAATCCGGTAACAAAAATCCGGTTTAATATTAATCTATTCAATTTAATTTTCATCTTCAAACTTTAACTTTATTATTAATTTTAGATTTGGCCTTTAAATCCTGGTGATACATCATTATTCTATGCTATTGTTGGTGTTTTAGGCATGGCTGATGGTGTCTGGAATACTCAGATTAGTGGTTGGAATTTTTATTTCTTTAATTAATAAATAATTAAAACTTTTTTTTTTTAAATTTAAATCTTAAAGAACGAAAAAAAAAAACAATGACAAAAAAGAGAAAAGTGAAGAAGAAAAGGAAAGAAAATGAAAGGAATCGAGAAAAAAAAAAATTAAAAATGAAAAATTGATAAATAATAATTTTAATTATAGGATTATGGATAGCACTATCATCTAGTCATCTTGAAGCTGCATTTGCTAATTATCGATTCTGGGAATCAACCGGTTTTGGTTTAGGACTTATCCTGATCCGTTTTACAAATATCACACAATTTTTACTTATTTCATTAGGAATGCTATTGATTGGAATGCTCTGTTATTTGAGTATCGAATTTTATGATAATATCAGTGTATGTTAAATTTTAATTATCAATGATAAGCTTTTAATATAATAAAATTCTTAGTGATTCCCTAATTAGCAATTATCAATCTGTCCATTAACTATTGATAGTTATTGATTCTCTCGAGAATTTTCTCTCGAGAAAAATGCTAATCACATCACATTCCTAAAATTAGTCTTACTTTGTTTTTTGTTTTTTTTTTTTACTGTTAAAATAAATTCGTTAACAAAAATTTCTAAAAACTTCAAAAAAAATTTTTTTTCCTCAAAAAGTAATTCGAATTAATTCTAAGCATTTTTCATAAACTTTTACAACTGAGTGTTTATTATCAGTGAAATAATAAAAAGTTAACTCAAAATTTTTTTTTAGACTAAAATCACAATATTTTTTTTTTCAGCTATATGGTAGACGAATGGTTGATATATGCCGAATTAGACATAAAAATCAACTTGGCAATAAACCGCTTTCATCAATGGAAACATCATTAATTAGTGCGACAAGTGCGCCAGAAAAAGTATGAGATAAAGCTGCTGTAAAATGATTGAAAGCGATAGAAAACATTATGATAAACATTAATAGAATTCTTTGTTGACAAAAAAAAAAAAAACTATTTCAAAATTTCAAGGATTAGAAAGACAAAATTCACACATCTAAATTCTTTTAAAATAAAAATATTTCTTAAGCTGTTTTTTTTTTTGGCAAATAGTTTTAATTTTTTATGTTTTAATTTTGCAACTATGATATTTGAAAATTTGAAATGAAATTATTTAATTTCGTTTTGCTAATCTTTCTTATTCAACTTTGCAACGAATAATTTAAAAAGTAATTTACGATAAAGTTTTATTAAATTTATTGAATTACTAAATGAGATATATTGCATTTTAGATATATATTATCAGAGCATGAAGGAATTGATAAATAACAATTCTTATTTCTTATCACAAACATAATTCGAAAAATTTCCTAAATTATCAATAGATAATTGAACTGAAATTCTTTGACAATAAAATAAAATAAAATTCAAACTTTATTCTACTAAAGAACACAATCATCTACCTTACACAAATTATTACAGTGAATTATTTGTTGAATATTAGAGAAAATTTTTAAAAATCATTAAAATAAGAAAGGATTCATTCTAGTTCACTTACTGCTTAATTGATGAATTGAAATCGTACGGGTAAATCAAATGGGTAAATTTCAAAACCATTCTTCCCTAACTCGTTCACTTGGGTAAATTAAAGTAGTTGTTTTCTAATTAAACTTTCATAGAATAGAAATAAGTTAATACAAAAATATGCATTAATTCTCTATGAATAAAATTTAATGATTAAACTATAGGTAAGTAAATAAGTAAGTAACAAAGTATTCATAGTATGTTAATTTTTTAAATTACAAATTTTATTCTATTCATTGACTATGTTTACATTAAAACTACAAATATATTGGATAACAAATGCATATTAAGTTTTAAAAAAAAAGACAAAAACTTTTAAATTAATGAGTTAATTAAACAAATGAAAAAATATTTTTATTATAAAATAAAATTTTGATTGCAATTTTTGAATTGAAAATTTTCTATTTTGATCTAACTAATTTAACTAAATGTTTAATTTTAACTAAATTTAACTAAATAAATAATCAAGTAAGTGAGTATTTCAATGTTTAAACAATATTATATATAAAGTATTTTAATATTTAAACAATATTATATCAAATCCACAAACATATAATCCAAATGTTGATAAATCAGAAATGAAAAACAACAATGACTTACGCAGTTACTTATACTTGCTTTGGGATGCAAAAAGTTGCACAGTGGCTCAGGGAAGAAATTTAAATTTAAAAATGAATTGAAAAGTTAGACCGTTGATTGTGAGAATTATGGTTATTTAGCTGTCGATGTATTTGATTGATCAGACGGATACGTGTATGCCGGAAGTTCCTGTACGGGAATTTCAGGAATACTTCTGATCTAACCGGATTAGTGATTCCATTACAATTTCTAGACTACATCAACTATTACATTTATTACTTCGAACGGTTCAGGTTGTAAAGTAATGTTCGCTTCAACATTGAATCATGCAGAAGAATTTCTGAAAAGTATATGCTGTGATCAATGGTATTTACTATAATCAATCAAATGATGCATAAATTTCTTGTTTATTTTAATTTCTCACTAATTTTCTAGAAATTGAAATTTGTTTTTTCTTTCTTTTTTTTCTTCAAAATAATTATATTTAATTTAAAATGTATAAGTGAGTAATTGTCAGTTGAATTTTTGAAATTTAGTAGATTATTGCTATAGAATATCTAGTTCAACGAATGATTGTAAATTCATCAAATTATTATACGAATTTGTTGAATTATTGTTAAATTTTGCAAATTTCAGTCATCAGCTATCGGATAAGTTACAGTTTATTGGATCATCATGCAAGCATGTTTTTTGCTGGTAAATTTCTTGTTTAGCTTTACAATAATCTGGAAATTTTGCTCTAGGACAAAGTGTTTTAAAACTAGAAATTCAAGGAAAATTTTTTTCATAAAATTTCCGAGATATCAATGATTCCCAACTTTTTATCGTTTAATATACTATTTAGAAAATGTATGTTCGACTTGTAGATAGATTATTGGAAGCGCTGAATAAAAGTGACTTTTCCACAACTTAAAATCAAAGCGGCAAATATATTTAATGCTACCTAATAACCCTCAAATTTTCACTCGCTGTCAAATGATAACTGACATTCCATTGTCACCAGTTTTTAATAAAAATATGCCAGGTCTCACACTGTCCACATAATGATTTCTGGTGATGCTAATTTTGATACTTTTGAAATCCAACGAAAGGTGGGGAGATATTTTCCTGAGGCCACGAAAAAAAAAACGCCACCCAAAAAAAACACCACAAAATCTAGGTGTGAGTTATTCGGAATATAGAAGTGTGTGAAGTGTTTAAATTTTGTCTTGATGAATACATGTGAGTAAAACAGTTATCCATGCATTTTTCAGGACATGTGTCAACACAATTTGCGATGGAAAGTCTTTCCCATTATGTCCACAGTGTTTACTACCCGTTGGATTACAGCATATGAAGTCCGCCACTTTTGCTGATCAGCTTTTCCAAAATCTTTTATCTCTGAAAGAAACTCTATCTGACGTTAGTTCTCCTTCTGTGCAGTTTATTTTAAAGCATGAAAAAAATAAATAGATGTAAAATTATTTCTTTGATAAGAAATACTGGTAAATTTTATTTGCAATGATATTTGACAGAAATAAGGTGGTAGTAACATGCTTATATTTTAAATTATTTTCTATATTTTAAATTGTTTCATATCAGATCTTCAATTATGTTGCAATCTTAAAGCATTGAACATTATTCTTGGCGTCATCATGTTCAAAGTTATGTTGTTTAATGATATCAATATATCGATATTTTAATTTCTGATATACACTCAGTTGAAAGAGGCAGCAATATTGGATAATATTTTTAGTTTACCATTTCCCAGTATGATCGACAAGTTATGCTTAGTCTAGTTGAAACAGATAAACAGCGAAGAACTGTGGAAGAGTTTTGTTCTACGCAGGAATGTGTTAAAATCGAAGACGATGTTAATCATACGAACATAAATGAGCAACGTAATGGATTACCGTCAGAGTAAGTCTTTGCATTGTTTGGTTTTTTCTGAAATATAGGTTCAACGTCATATTTTGCTAATTTCGATTTTTCTGGATTGAATTTACTTTGATTTTCAGCAATAATAAAAAACCATTTTGTTTTTCAATAAAGATTTTTGGTGAAGAATTGAATTAATTTACCGGTTCTTAGAACATCTCCTGTTTCGAGTGGTAATGTTTTGGACCTTGTTTCGCTATCAGGCGATGTTACACCATCCACGAAACTAAATGATACTGTTATTGCTAGAACTTCTATCCAAAATGATGTTATAATGACTCAGCAATTACGTGTTTATGATGAACCAGAGAAATTTCAATTCTTCAAGGAACCACCCCGAAATACTTTTGGTAGAGCTGTAGCAAAGAAAAGGACGGTATGTTTTTGAAAATAATATCTCTATTAATGTTTGACTGTAAATTAATCATAAGTGAGTTTTACCATTGAAAGCTATAATGATTCGGAAGAGTAATTTCCTCAGTGAATTTCAGTGTTACAATATGCTGCATCTATTCTGACACTTGAATATTTCTCATTCAAAGGAAATTTTCAGTCAACTGATTCCGAACTTGGATTGAAAAATTGGGGCGCTAAAAATCTAAGTACAATCCCATTAAAAACAACAATAGCACAAAATTCTCATAAATCACCAGTTCAACGATATGAATATAATCTAGTGAATGCAACTATACGCGGATCAAAAAAAAAGCTTTTGGAAGCTTTAAAGGTGGTTATTCTTTATTGTAACATGATAAATAGAAATGATATGAGGATTATAATGAAGAAATGTATGACTTTCTTCTGCTGAGAGATAATAACGATGTCATATTTCATTTTTTTTTTTAAATTATAGAATGGAGAAGATGCTAATGAAAGTGACAATCTTGGTTTCACGGCGCTTTATCATGCTGCAGCTCATAATTACACTGAAATTTGCAAAATTTTGATTGAAAATGGTGCTCTCATCGATGCGCATGGTAGAGTATGATTTTTGGAATTTAAAATAACTTCAGTAAATTATGCTGAAAGTTGAAATTATTTTTGATCATTTTGTCAAATTTGTTGAAACGAAGTAATCTGACATTAGCGGCATAATAAATAATCTCGTTTGAGAGATTGTTAGCATAATTGGTTTAAAAAATTTCGATCATATTTTAACTGGAAGGTGTGCTGAATTAGATGATCGAGTAGTTCCTTTTTATGTGATAGTTCACTAAATGTCAATATGAAGGCATAATTAACTTCGAAAATTTTAATTAATCAAAATTAACGTAGGTGGAGAGTTATGCGAAACAGCTCTTCACGCAGCTGTGCGTTGGCAGGCTGTTGATGTTGTAGAATACTTGTTATCAAAGGGAGCAAATAGACGAGCGCGTAACTTAAAAGTAAGCTTATTTTAATTGTTCTAAACCATTAAATGGTTTAACCCAGCTAATTCTTTTTGATTTTTACTAGTTGTCTTCAGTATATATATATATTGTAAATATTGAAAATTTTAGAAAATAGAGGAATGAATTCTGGATTATAGGATGAAACACCAATGGATTTGATTAAAGATGATGAAATGCGAGCAGTTTTTGACAGAATTTCCCATCCGATTCAAATGGGTACGATTAACTTAGCCCGTTCAAAAAATGGCCATGATGAAGTGTATAGTTTTAGAGTAGATCAATAACGAAGACATGTTCTCTTGATATAATTTACTGAGACTTCAATGTCTGGATAAATTTGTTATGAATTAGAAAGGAAAGTATTTTTTTTTTTTTACGGCACCAATCGAGACAAATTTGATCTGGTATTTGAAATAATAAGTAAAAATTTACTCGTAAATTTTCACGTTTAGGAAATAATGCATTTAAAACAATGATTTTTAATAATGCAATATGTTCTTTGCAGTATATCCTTCTCGAAAATCCAAAAAATATTCTGTCTTCCTATCGACAACATTACCGAATTTAAACATTGAACGTGGCAAACTTTCATTCAGTGATCTGTTACAAAATACTATGAATTTAGAAAATGCCACACATTTTGTTGTTCAAGCAGGGAAAAACCGAGCAACAGAAATCAATGGTAAGGTCTATTTAAAAATTTTTGCAGTTTCAGAGCTTCAGGGCAACCAGAATGATAAACTCGTGAGAATTAAAAGTAGAAAGTGAGAAAATTAATAGTTTTTATAGTTGAAATTTTGGAAGCTATGCTGCGTGGACAATATATTTTAACCAGTGAATGGTTGAATGCATGTTTGGAAGCAAATGACATCGTAGATGAAGAGTTGTATGAAATTTCAACAATTATTCGTAATGGTCAACTGCTTGCTAAAAATTCATGTTCTACAGCCAGAATAAATTATGCTAGAATGGTTTGTTTGCCTGTGTAGTTAATTTTTGACAGTGATACAACATCAGTCTTCAATTTATTCCTGTCTTCGATATTATTATTTGTTTAAAATATGCAGTACAGAACAGATTTCCAGACGTTTCTGTCACTGATAATTTTTTCCTTCTCTGTTTATCAGCAGATGAAATGGAATTAGTTCTCAGTGACTTGCTTCTAATGATTTTCTTAAACAGCAATCATTTTTGTTAATTTCAGAAAAGGAAAAAAGATAAGAGAAATGAAATTTGTTCTTATTTTTTGTCTTATTCCTCTTTGTCCTACAGTTCTGCGCTGTTATGCAAATTTGCGACTTTTGTTTTGATATGTTAAGTCTAACTGACGATTTTGTGCAGTGAATCCATCAGGGATGACTTAAAGAATTTTGTAAAAATGGTCAACTATTAAGTGAATTTCGTTCACTTATCAGTTAGTGAACTAAAGATAATTCAGCAATGCTTTGTGGAATCATTGGAAGTCTCAAAAAATTTTCACTTTGGGATCATGTAATCATTTAATCACATTGGGATGGGAGATATAGATCAAATTTATTAGTGAAATAGAAATATTGGAAGAATTTTTAGTTTCTATATGAATTTTACGAACATTTTCGAAGTTATGTATTTTCAGGAGCCAGAGCTTTTTCGAGGATGTCACTTTTATTTTTGCAAGCATAAATACTTACCATATCGAGAAAATGAAGTCAAGAAACTAGTTCGATTAGCTGGAGGTGTAATACTTGGAAGAGAACCCAAAATAGAGGAATATATCGAGAGTGGCTTAAGGCCATATCATGCGAAAAGAGCAGGAAATAATTTGAATGAGGTAAGAAGGCGCATCACTGTTGGCAAAACTATGGGAATTTGAATCTACTGAATTTTTATAAATTAATTATCTTTTTTAATCCAAGAAACCAAGGTTGCGGTAAATTTTCTTATGTATGATCACATACTAGAAAATAACTTTCAGGAATTTGTTTTTATAGGTTTTTCTATAATTTCAATATTTTAGCTGTTTGGTTTATTCGTAGTGTATATGCCAGGCCAGTCTATTCCACAACGGGTTACGAAGCAAAAATTTATCAGCCTTATTACGCCAATTTGGATAATGGAATGTATCGCGAAATTTACACTTTTGCGACCCGAAGATCAATGAAATATTTCTCCATCAAATGTTCCTATTCTGTACAAATACTTAATAGGAACTATTAAGGATTAAAGTTAATAATTCTTATATCTCTGAATCTCTCTCGAAATGTTAGAAATAGAACACGTCAGTATCCTAAATTCATTAATTACGGCCATCTTGTTAAACTGCCCAGTTATTCCATTTTACCTTTGTGACTAGATTAACGATAATAGCTTTAGTGATGTTTTAATCAAATTGATATTGCAATCTTGATTTGCTTAGATTTTTCATGAATTCCTGTACTTACACTCAAGCAATACTGTACAGTGATAGTAATATTATCAATCATATCGAATTCCGTTTCAGGAAAACGAACACTTGGTTTCAGCTCCATTAAAACTTGTGATCTGAAATCTAAACACTTTAAGGAATCGAGAGTGTTCTCCGGTCAAAAATAAATCGGTTATATTGTTATAAGTATTTTCCATGCTTTTCCATATGCGATATCTCAGGATATAACATGCTTTATAGCTCTAACATTCAAGAATGTACAGCAAAATGAAATGGTTGCTTTTGTGTTTACCTGATACAGATAAAGTTGTATACCACCATTATTTTTTGGATTCTTGAAGCTTTAAATACAAAACAAACATTGTCAAGGTGAAAGAAAGCTGCGAAAATTAAACATAAGAAAATATACAGCAAATTAATAAAATATATTTGCACAGCAAACACCTTGCACATGTATGTGATACAAAGAAGCTTGCGCTTGCGCACAAAATAATTTAAATGTTATTGTGGTTATAGATCACATTAAATGTATCTAAAAATTCACTGAATTTCGAAAGGAACAAAGCTAAAGATGCTAGAACAGGTAGTTAAATTTCTTATCGAAAAGCAAACACTGAAATCCAAAGAGTTTTGGAATATTTTCCTTTCCGCTGTCATATGTTTCGTTTTAATATGTTTAAATTAAGCTGAGGATCTCTCAACCTACGTATAATCCTTTTTCATTATCATTATTATATATTCTTCATCCCAAAATTTTTAAGTGGAATACATTAAATTTTAAATCTGATCTGGTATTTTCATTTTGAAAATACCAGAAGCCCCATAGTATGAAGTATGATGAAGTTCGCGAATACTAGCTTCAAAAATGATAGTGTCAAAAAAACAATATATCGAGATAATTCAACAGGAACGTAATAATGAAAGCGTAGAAAAAGAAAGGAAAATATTTCACCAAAGTGACATATCTTGTGAGCCATCTTCGCTGAACACTTTGAAATATATCCAAACTGCACCAAAACAAACAATATTGGCGAGAAACACGAAAATAATACGACAGACCAGATATCTGTAATCGATAAAAATTGTTGCCCAATAATAAAAAGAATGAAAGTACATATTGAGAAAATAAGTAAGTCAATAAATAACAAACAAATTTTCTAATAATTCATTTTCAATAAAACTAATATGTTAGTTATTTAATACTTAAAAAAGAAGTGTGAGAGACGTTTTAGAACTATTATCAGCTAAAACACATGCGAAATAATGACATGTAACTCTGTAAGTAATACAATATGCATATAAGTGCTTTAAACTAATAACTAATAAATGAAGAATGTGGTTTTTTTTTTTGATCCAGATTATGATCTAATACAATTCTGAATTTTCAGAAAAATAGTGTACAGATCAAATATAGAAGCAAAATAGCCTCGTTCCCACATTTTCATTCATCTTAAATCTAATTTTGAATTTCCAAATGAAGAGAGAAATTTTGACTTCTAAATCTCTTTTGATAAAAAACACACAATATACAAATATTAGCACTTTACGACATTTCATTCTTCGAAAAATGATTGCTAATCACACTAAACATCTAAAGACAACGTAAATTAAACACTGAGAACAATGAAAGCCTATGAAATATGCATGTTTTCTTATCAAAAGGCAAGCTGACGCAAAGAATAAATTTCGAAAATTTTACTGTTCACATTAAGTCAACAGATATTTCTGAACTTTGCTTGTTACAACAAAATCCCTTAAAACGAGAAACATGTGAAGAAAAAAGCAAACTCATGCATTTATTGATCAAATCGACTGATCATAAGATAGGCTAACAATTGAAACATTAAACAAGCTACGAAAAGTACCCTTTTGACAGCACATTACTTCTTCAGTGAATTAAAAAAAAAAATGAAAACCTAAAATTTTCGAATTTTATCAGTAAAAAATGTTGCAAATGAAAAGTACAACATGCATTACCACTTTTCACTCAATATAATCCATTTCCACAACGATTTTCCAAAGTATCAATCAAAAGAGTGTTTGGTTCCATCCACTACCATCGTCTTCCCGATGTAAATAAAAATAACTAAGAATCGTCAAAAACATCACCAAAGAACCAAGATTTGCGCATAAACATGCCAACCATTTAATCTAAATTAATAAAAAGTAGCACGCACACAACAACATTTACTATTACAGAAGGACACACATACATTTAATACCTTTGAACTTTTAATTGCAATAGATTTAAATCCAAGAAAATCAAAAGTTTAGGCACTAGATATAAATTGAAGATGTACCTATAAGTGTGAGAATAACAAGTAACTTACCAACCAGTTAATTGTTAAGTGGACTGCTTATTGACAAATAATATTTAAAAAAAGCACTCACCGTCCTTAACAACATGAGAAATAAACTAGTCTCACCGATAAGTAATCCTTATTTACAGACTCCAAAAAAAAAAAAATTTTTTTTCTACGATACTCCAAAGAACATAACTTAGACGATTTAAAAAAATTTTTTTACAAAGAGAAAAGGAAAGAAATTGCAAGTTTTTGGGCAAATTATATTTTCAGATGGTTATATCTATCAGCTACACATCTTTTATCAAAATAATTCCTATGACTAATCAATACATATAAATACTTCATTCAATTAAAGAGAGACAAAATTCATGCAAATCATGCATTTCTCAACAACTAAAAATTCACCAGACATGCAAAACTTTTGAAAAACAAAACCATTCCAAATAAAACAAAGAAAATAACATGAAGTATGTCACGTGGCACTGTCCTAATTTCGAATGAATCCTTCCGTAAAAGTTAAATCTCCAGTACATCCTTTATACGCTTTCGATGATTAATAGCAACAGTAAAATCTCAGATAAATTCCTAAAAAACTTACCACTCCAGCATGTGCAAGAACCATCGGTAATGCAAACGCTGATACAACAATGCCGGTTGTTATGAACAATGCAAACTCAATACATGCTGAAGTACCAGTCATGTCAACGTGAGATCGCCGAGCTATTGATAACGGTATTGGAGCCAATACATAGAAAATTACGACAAACAATGGCCACCAAATACTAAACAAAAATTTCTTTCAATAAACCATCAAATTTTTTTACAATTAAAAGTCTAAAAGTTATGATTAATTTGATTTTATTTATACAAAAAATAACATGTAATATAAGTAATATTAAAAATTATTCTAAATTTACTTCCTTACCCAAACATTGGCAATGCACATCCCAGAACAAGCAGCGTAAGACCAACCACACCAGATAACGCTAAGAGTACAACCGCTAAAACAATATTTTCATCGAGAAGTGACAGGATGAACTGTTTCATGATAATGATAACATAATAAATAACTACATTTGTGGTTATTTCGAGCTTTTCAATGTTTTAAGTTATTTAATACAAAAAAAAAGAAAGATAAAAGCACGATAAGACAAAAGATATTTTTAAATTAAGGGATGTTGAAGGATGAATCAAACAAATAAACGATTAGCTATAATAATTTTCCCTTAATCAATACTTCCTTTCACCTATTACGATCAAAGGAGAATACGGTGAATCTTTATTACTAGCATTACTATTTTATGTAAATCTGCTACTATTCCCATTTCTGATACTATTACTGTAATTCCAGAAGTACAAGGGTTACTACTATTACAGTATTGGTTGCAGCATTATATTGTTACAGTACTACTATCACCAGTAAGAATAATGGAAAAGTATAAACTCGAGTATTACCTCTGACTCCTGCCATTGATCAGTGTGACAAAGAGACCACGGTAGAACTCTCCTGATGGTTGATGTCTGTAGCAATAATCACTTCTGGTGCTTTCTTCCAAAATTACCTAGTCTTGAAAGATTCAAAGAAACCTGGAAGCACGATTAAGTTATGCAATATCTTAGTATATAATGTCCAGGTGAGTTTATTTGGCAGAATTTGTTTTTTTTTTTTTTAATTTAATTAGAACTAATAAAAATTCTTTTCACAGTTTTATTTATTATGAGAACTCAATTATTGAAATCAAAACTATTGCGATTAACATATCTATCACTTCTAAAATACTATTGGCTACAGCAAAAATTTCCAAAAACTTGCAAACAAAATGAGAAATTTACAAGTTTTTCGTATACGACAATTGGAGCATTTCGAAACGATTACTAATTTATCATATTTTAAATGCCTTTTTCTGTTTTAATGTAAATATACTAATTAAAATTTTGACTGTCCACGTGAACTTTAAGGTCTACTTACACAAAGATCTAATATAATTCTTTATAAGTGTCGACACTTTTTCACGTAAATTTTGATTCTAATGCATCCTTGCATCTACGTCTATTTTCCACATACACTTATTATCTCTTAAACTAAGTTCTAGATTCTAATATTCCTCAAAATATCACTTTTTTATACAAATAGAAATACTGCTCAACTAAGATCCTCACGTATCCTCAAGTAAGTCTCGAATAGATTTTCGAGACTTACTTGAGGATACGATTCCCTTGTTTCTCACTCAGTCATTCATTTATCTGCTTTTCCCCTCGGATAAATATTCTCTCAGTCACTCACTCATCTGCTTTTCTCCGCGGGTAAGTATTTTCTTACCCAGTCACTTACCTGCTTTTCTCCGCGGGCAAGTACTTTCGCACCCACTCATTTATCTGCCTTTCCCCGCGGGTAAGTAAAAAAAAAAATCTAATTACCAAGCATCTACC